GAGAGAGAGAGAGAGAGAGAGAGTTGTGTTCTTTTATCACCATTGAAGGTGGAGAAGTAGAAGAGAAGCAAGAAAGCTATTTTGTACAGTTCTTTCAAGTGATTGAGCCAAACATATTGTGTAAGTTGAGTGCTACTACCGTGTGCCTTGGCTTACCTAGCAAGGTGTGTCAAGACAGTTTAAAATGAATATGTTACTTTATAAAATGAACATGTGTAAACATGTTTATACATGTTCATTTTATAAAGTGTTCATTTTAAAAAAACTTTGGCACACCTTGCTAGGTGTGCCAGAGCACACTTAAAGTATTTGCGGTGTAAGTTCTCCAAAATGATGCTAATAATGATGATATTAGAATTGTTTCTTCTTATTCCATGTCTCTCAATTTTTATTGTTTAATTAAAAAAATGATGCTAATAATGATGATATTAGAATTGCTTCTTCTTATTCCATGTCTCTCAATTTTTATTGTTTAATTATTTAATTAATTTTTGTATGTTTGATCACCCTTCATGGCTTATTTTCATTAAATTGAGACATACACGCCAGAGCCTCTACTCACGGTGGGCACGTGTTAATATTCCCACCGGTTACGTGGCATGCACAATGTTAATAAGTTCAAAAAAATACACCACCAATGTGTGCATGACACATAAACGGTGGACATATTAACATGTGCTCACCGTGAGTAGGGGAGCATTCATCTATATGACAGTGTTAATTAAGTACTATTCATTATAGTATCAGTACCACATTATTTTTTTAAAATAATAAGTGCATAATTATATTATCAAATGTCATACTTTTCGTTTTATATTTTGCGATCAAAAAAATATATATATACTATCAAATACAACATTTCAATTTTCATTTGTGATATATTTTATAATGAAAGCACATATATAATAATGTGATATGACATAAAATTATAATTTTATACTATATGATTTGTGTTAGTTTTTATGACATACATAATATTCTATTAAAGCATTTGTCACTTTTATGTACTTATGGGATACTGATATTTCCTTGGAATTGATTTGTCCCAGAAAATTTCCATAGTTACTTGAATTTTAATAAATTAATTAATGACGATATAATGATTCTTCGTTAGTTTTAGTTGAGTTGGGGGTATCATTAGATCTTATGAGCCCTTATCATGAAAACATGCTTAGAAGCTAACAAAAG